CTGGCAGTCGCGGGTAATGGAGAACCAATCTCCTCGTAGAGGGGTCTACCTCCGACCCAATGATCAAACCAAAAGAGGACATCTTCTCGAGTCTCAACCAACCAACCGATTCCACTTTTGACTATGTCCCGACACTTGAGAATATCTTGCCACACATGTTGTCATGCCCCGAACCGCATTCGTGCCACGTAGACAACCGCCGTACAACGTAATAAGAACAACGGTAGTTCATTCCTGTTGAATTATTATACAAGGCGTTCGATAGATTCTATTGCCAATCCAATTAGTAAACACATACAATCAACATCAATATCATAATCAAACAAATGCGGAAATAAAAATATGTTTGATAATTAGCCACATGTGGCAAACACGAGCACGTAGTCCCTCAATGCCATTTAATATAAAACAGTGTTTCAATATCCATGAGCAAATTCCACATTTTTAAAATAAGAATGGAAGCACTAACCAATTTTTCCTTATTCGATGACCACCCTAGGCAAAGGTGCAGGTAGTAGGGCTCAAGCCTCAACCTAAAAAAAAGTGAGGCCCCCGAAGGGGTCAGTACTCCATATAAAGAAGTACTAGTGACAAGCAAGCTATATGATGAATAACTAATGTTTCAGACACGAGACCCAAAAATAGGGTGATACATATATTTATAGGTGTAACCACCGTTACCCCCATTCACAAGGTGATACATATTGTATATACTTGTAAAATACTCAACCTGTAGGTCATTTTCATTAAAAGAGTCTTTTAGAGATAAAGTCCTTACTCGACCCTTTCATTCTTGTCCCGAATGTCTAGCTCACAAGCTACATCCTACATTCGTAATATACTACCGAGTGTTTTAGGATCACTTATCGTCCAAGGTTACTCAACCCCAAACTGGAGTATTTTGGATCATTTACCGCCCAAGGGTACTCAACCCCAACCTGGAGTATTTATGATCATTTACCGTCCAAGGGTACTCAACCCCAACCTGAAGGATTTAGGATCATTTACCGTCCAAGGGTACCTCACCCCAACCTTATTCCTACCAAATCCTAACCCGGATATGACTAACATTTTATTCCCTCAACTATGGACAATACTTAGCCCTATAGTCATATAATAATCCTTAGTAAACAACGTGAACGGGTCCCACACGAATGGCCCGCGTTAAACACACTCAAAATTGCCCATTGGGTGTAAAACCCAATACCTGGTCGGGTACCCATTCATACCCGGTCGGGTATGGTGAGGCAGTAGCCCCTGAGGCTGTTTTTAGTTAATACCCGGTCGGGTATAGCCTTTGACTTGGCGGTCAATGCCCGTTTGACCGCCCAAACGAAGTCCGATTATAGTGAAATTTCGTATACATGTACTTCTTGACGTCCTCAATCCAAAAATACCTTTTTGGGGCCTTAGAACATCATACATATTAAATTATCACATTTTCAATAATCACACCTACAAAACATGTTTTTCAACTATGTTATACGAGTATTCTTTAATACGTAGTATGACATAACACATACTTGAATATAATTAATTAATTCATAAAACATATTCTTGATTAATTTAGGTAATCTCATGACTCATGCAAAATTTATAAAGCATATAACCGTCTTCTCACCTAAATGAAGCTTATGAAGTTCTAGCTTTCCCGATTGAGCTCCGGCAAAACTCCGGCGAGCTTTGGCGACAATTCCGGCAACTCTTTCAACTTCGTGAAAGATCTAGGAACACTTTAGACAAGTTCCTATCAAGGTTTTATCATCACAAAACTCATATCAACACAAATAACCTCTAAAAGGTTATTTTTCTGCGAACCGGTCAACTTTGTTCTCTAAGTCCGTTTTGTGTATAAACCAACCTTCCAACCCCTCACTCCTCACATTTAAATGTGTAGAACAAGTCTAGGGGTCTATTATATGATAAACGAGTCAAATGATTCTTGAGGAGAGGAGAAAAAGTTGTTGTGGAATCATAGTGAGTCAAATGATTCTTGAGGAGAGGAGAAAAAGTTGTTGTGGAATAAAAGTTAAATGTGCTTAACATGTTCCTTGTATGATTGGAGTTTTGCCGAACAACATTAGATCATCTGCAAAGAATAGTTGTGATACCCCGATTCTTGGTTTTCCAACACTTTTCCATATCTTATCCTCAACTTCCTTTGATAATCAGATGAGATAAGTGTTCTATGGCTAGAATAAAAAGATATGGTGAAAGAGGGCCCCCCTGTCGTAATCCTCTTTTCGGTTGTATCTCTTGTAGAATGCACCCATTCCAGATAATCCCGATCTTCATGTCTTTTAAAGAGTTCATAACCAGCCTTATAAAGGAACCCAAAATCTATCAAAGTTTTCTCCATAAACGGCCATCTTAAGCAATCATATGCCTTTTGAAGGTCTAGTTTCATCACCAACCCTCCTTTCTTCCCCTTTTTAGCATTCAAAGTGTGGGTGATTTCTTGAGTAAGAATAATGTTATCTGTCATACTACGTTCGGGAAGAAAACTGCTTTGGAAAAGGCCAATTAAGTCCCCAATCCAAGTCCTCATTCGATTGACTAGAACTTTTGAAACCACTTTATAAATAACTTTAAGCAAAGTGATGGGTCTGAAATTGCTCGTGTCTTCAGGACTTTCCCCTTTCGGAATAAGCACCATGAATGATTTTAGTATCTGGGGAGAGATATGTCATGTACGTAATGCAGTGTTCACAAAAGTCTGGACCGTAGGTCCAATTGCACTCCAGAAATTTTTGTAAACTGCCACTGTAATTCCATCCAGGCCTGGACTACTGAAACTTTTCATACCAAAAATGGTCTCTCTAATCTCTTCCAAGGTTGCTTCCCTCATAAGGCCATTACTTAGTTCTCCAGAAATTTTTGGACACTCCAAATTGTTCAGCTGCTCACTCATACCCCCATCAATCTCACCAAAGAGTGTCTCAAAGTAATCCCGAACAATCACGAGACCTTTAATTCTTAATTGTTTCCCCAAGAGTCATGGTTAATAAGACTATATATAGGAAAAGACATTTTCGAAGCTTTGAACAAGCCATTCAATTCAAATTTGTCAACTCCTATAGAATATATTCCAGTTTCCAACATTAGAAGTACGACAACTTGCTTCCAAATAATTTTTCCTCAGAAAATCTTTAACAAACATTCATAGCAACTTCACGCCACATTTCTAGTCATGCATTATTGCATACCCAAGTCTCATATGGATTAGGTTCGTAGGTTTCACTTTATCATTTCAATTTTTAGTCGGTTAGTTTTTAAAAGGAGGGGACCCATGACAGAACTGCACTGCTTGATTGAGTTTTTATTTGAATAATTTCAATCAATTTGTATTGGTTTCGATCATAAACTGTAACCAAACTACCCAGAGCTGGGTAGATTTTGATCAGTTTAGATTTCATTCAGTTTAGTTTCAATTTGCTTGTCGGTCGATTTCGGTTTTTCAATTTCTTGTTTACCCTATCACTAAGTATGGACGTATGCTAAGTACTCCATACTAAAAGTATGGACATCCTTAAGCAAAAAATTCAAAAATTATTTTTAAAACTAACAAAAAGCACATACTACCAATATATGCACAATTGTTTTTTGAGAATATATTCCACAAGTTTCGAGAAGACGTATGCTACATACTAAACTAGCAATTTATCGCAACAAGTACTACGCAAAATAAGGATGCACCAAATACGATGCATGTGTGCCATACTAGTACGTCTAAAGTGGATAAAAGGATCATGAAAGAGGAAGGAGCCTATCAGCTACTATCATTTTGGAGCTTGCTCAGTTTTGATACTAAACGGCCATTATGAAGCAGGAAAGAAGGGAATGGAGCATGACATAAGCTAACATGTGCCTTGAGCCGTGGAATGTTGGGATGAACACTACGACATCTATGACACCTTAATTCCATTGCAAGAAATTTTTCGCTATCATCCTGCAACACAGCCTTTCCGTTTTCACTGACTTCCTCTATCACATCAACTGAATCCCGGAAGAATGGAGAGTTGAATGAATTCCAATGCTTTTTATTCTTCAGATGCTTCGAGTTGAAGTCTTGGCTAATCACATGAAGATGCAGTTGTCGCATTGAGGGAACCTGGAGAAAATGATTTATTCTATAAATACTGTTATCACAAGTGCTTTTTGCCTTTTAAGACGAGCTTAAAGTGTTGTTTTTGCCGTTAGAAACACTTTCCAATTTTCCTACTGAACACTTATTCTCTTGGTTGCAGAAGGGCTTTTCTTCCTAAAAAAGAACTAGTTCCCTGAAAATAAGTCATCCAAAATGCTCTCATAGAATATAAGTGGGGTGGGGGTGCAAAGTAGAGCATCAGTCATTGTAAGACCATACCGAATGGTATCCAAGACGGAATATTAATGATTCATCTTCATCCAGAAGCATTTCTGCCCACTTCAGGCCAACAGCATGCATTGTATTAAGCAATGGGACATGCAATTTACAAATATCTGACAGTCGATCAAGGCCTTCAACTCGTGCAAGCACCAATAGGTGCTTTTGAGCCTGCCACAAGAATGGGCTGCAACTTTAACAAGTACTTTTCAACTTGTGATGAAAGAGGAAAATAAGGAGGTAAATTTTGGAGGAAAAGACATTGTCCCTTTTGGGAACAAATTGAAAATAATTGAAAGGAAAAGAAGCCTTATTTTCCATTCTCCCCAAATTGAAAGTGAAGTTCACTACTGATGATACAATTTACCTTTTAGTCTACTCCTTAAATTTTGAATATTGTGTATGCTAAGACCCTAATTTCATGACATAATAATATCATAACATTATAACTTGAAATCCCTCTAAAACTAATTATTCATATCATAATAAAAAAACATGCAGTTCCCTTTCTCTATTTACCCTCAACCTAAACACAAGCGGTGATAATAAGTATGGAAATTAAAACTTTTTTTACCTTTCTTATTTTCCTCTAATTCAGAAGAAACTTCCCAAACTATGCCGCAAAGGACAAATGACTCCAGGAAGAAGGGAGAAAAGGAGAAAGTGAGAGTGAAAGAGAGTAAGTAATAACCTTAGGATACATATCGTTCAAAACCACAACATCGCTCGTTGTTTCTAAGACATCATTCTTGTGCTTTTCAGGATGCATAGCAATGTCATAAAGAGCTTGTGCCCATGATCCCCAAGTTTTGCTTGCATCTTTTTTCTGTAAGCAGTTCTTTGTGTCAAGAGGACACTCAGTGCTGGGGTCTACTTTCTGAACGCTTTTAAGTTTTTTGCTAACAGATTCAAAATCAGCTTCCCTCTCAAACTTCTGCTGATCACTATTCTGATATTCTCTACCCTGTTGATCTTGCAGTTTAAATGAGTTCTCCTTGGAGAAGTCGCCATGGGCCCTGAGTACCACTGATGCAAATCCATCAAAGAGTGATGAGTAAGCTTCAGAAAGAATCTTACATCCCTTGACATAGTCATTGTTTAGACAATTCGGTCTCTTTGGATTCATATTGGGTCCAACAACATGTATGACGTGAGTGACGCCCTCCCTACTACAGAGGGGGGATGTCAGCGGAAGGGGAACCACAACAGCTTTTCCAGGTGATAAGGATCCAATTCTTTCCTTCGTTGCACTTTCAAGTGCGGCACCCGCAGCATTAAATATAGCCGCATTTGTCCCTCCTCCTCCTGGTTTAAGTCGCCTGCAAAAAGTGCATGTTTACATCAATTTCCATGAGATATTTATTATGAAAATTTGAAAGGTTTTTATATGATTTAATTCCTGGCAAATATAGTATTATAATGTTGCTTTTCTTTTAGCTCCTTGCAAAATTATTTTTATGTTTTTCATCCCAGCAGTTTAAGCTATTTTCTGTTCATTCCTTTTACTCTACAACAACCTCCTTTTAAAAAAAGAACTGACATGACTATAACAACCTGCTTTTGTTTTAGCTCCCTGTAAATGATTAGTTTTGACTTTTGACTAGCCTCAATTACACTAATAGTCTCCAAACAATAAGAAAATGTTGATGTGGAAATGTTGGGAGTGTAGGTCTATGGGCCACATTATTTTTTTCTAACTGGAATTTATAAAAACAACAAACAATTTACAGGGACCTAAATGAAAAGAAACTATATCTGCAGGACGGGAAATATACTTCAGCCAATAAACAATCTTCGGGTTGCATAATTTTACCAGTTGGCAGCATTAGCAATTACATTGCAGCGTAACCCTCCAACAGAATGTAGCTGAGTGATATCACCAACAAATGTGAAGAACTTATTAGAGTCAATGTTCTTCTTTGCAGCTTTTGTCCTGACCAGGGAAAGTATTTTTGAATTGTTTGACAAATCCACCAAAACAAGCCTAGCGTTTCCAAGTCTAGGCACAAATTCCTGTACTTTCTCAACTATGATGTCAGATGCCTTCTCAAGATTGAACTGGAAATCTGCTGTAGAAATAGAAGGGAATGCTAAGGTTGGAACATCATGAGAAGAACTGTCCATGCAAGTAGTGCTAGCAGTTTCTGGCTCTTCACTGCTCTTTGCATCATTGGAGGCAGGAGGTGATGTGGATGCAATATTATCTCCCACCGGATCTACTTTCTTAAGGAACTTCATTATACCAAGTTGAATCTTAGCATTTGGATTCCTCTGACCAAAACAGCCTGATGGGAGTGAATCTGAGGGATTAAGTCCTGAGTACATATCAATAGCAGCTTGAACCTCTTTTTCATCATGACAGAATGTAATCCGTTTGAATCCTTCACTCAAATTGGGCAATTCTTTCTTTTGAAGCATCTTATTAACAACTGCAGCAGATTTACCACCTTGCAAATTTCCTTCATGCCCAGTGCGTTTGACAGACCGAGATATGCATATCTTTGATGGAAGATCAAGAACCACTGCATGCTTTTCAACCACCATTGAGTCACAACCAAGTTTCATAAAGTCTGAACGTTGTTCTTTATCCAAGTTGCACCTGTCAATGAACACATTTCTGCCTTGCTCCAATGCACGAGTTGCACTCATCACGCATTGTGCCTTTGTCCCTGCCTTTCCATTCCCAATTGTATCCTACACTACCGTAAACAACTTCTAGTTTTTGGATTTACAGAATAACAAAGAACCACACTAACAACTATTTGCATCAACAGCTGGATGTGTTTCATTTCAGTCTTCTTTTCTCTATTTTTCTTCGTCCGTCATAGCTTATTTGTCGTTTTAGCCAATTCTTTTTGTTCCAAAATAATTTTTGTTGTAGGATTCCAATGATATTACTTTCCAAAATTTTCCCTTGATTTTTCCATATCAAATGATACTTTGCCTCGAAAATGTAACATAAGAAGCAGTTATGTTGAACTTGTATAGGGATAGAAATGTCATTTTGTAATATTCCATGATATGCGTGCAATTTAACTAAAACGTAATTAAAGTGAAACCAATGGAGTATATTACTAGACGGCTAGACCCTTTTACTTAAATGGGTGTGCCATGTCTCCTGAACTTGTTAGACCCATTTAGCCTATGTTTGTTTAGATGCATGACAAAGTAGAGTAGAGATAAATTTCATCTTTGGATCTACTCCAAAAATATCATATCCATAAGTGGTGAGAATAGTAGGACAAAGAGAAAGAAATTCCCCCCACAATACAAACTCTACCTCATGTAAGGACATATGTGCCGTTACAAACAAAAACAAAAACTTTTCTCTCTCCAGCTTTCCCGCTTCTCCCCATCCAAATAACTTGAGTATATATGCCTATTGTCCACTCATTATATGATTTATATCTTCACTCGTGCTTCTTTCTTTCCAATTTCTTTCTTCACAATTTTCTTTTTTATCCAAAATAAACAGTACTACCTCCATCCTAAAAAACATTGACATTTTCAAATCTTTGATCAACTATATATTTTTATTGAAATTATTTATAATATAAAAATTATATGACAAATGTTCTTTGTTAAAGTACTTTCATAAACATTTAAAACTTTTAACTTTCATAAAATATACTAATTAAAATCATGGTTCAAATTTTATGATATAACAAAGTTTTTTGGGACGGAGGTAGTAGTATATAACTACATTCTCCAAGCCAATAGTAAAATAGGATGAAGAAAATATTCGTTGCCACACATTGTACATACCAAGTTAGTTACGCAAATGAATTTGAAACCTATTATAACTTACCAGAAAAACTGAGCAGAGCTGAGATATCCCAGGTGTGACTAATAATGGATTTCCCAGTCAGGAAATTCGTAGAACATTTCAAATACAATAGTTCATTGATGCAAGCATAGATGTAAATGAACCATCAACGAGAAAAGGTCACAGAAGGCGAACCTGGCAGATACGAACCCAATGGCGAGAGGATGCCCTAATGACCTGATCGCAAAACGTAGATTTTCCGCTGCCCGGTGCACCCACCAATATCACCATGATTGCTGAACTGCCCTTGTCTTGTTGTACTCCTTCAGTTGTTCCTGGTTTCAGAAACAGAGAATTTAAGCAAGATATCTTAAGGAATGGAAACAAATTCTTTTATCAATCGGAGCATTCAATGACCTCCGGAATTAGCGTCCCGATCAATATCCATTTTCCCGTGGCAAATTAGTTCCAGGTGTAGACCGATGTTCAACAGTTGCTGAGCTTTGAGTGCCAGAGCTTTGAATGTAAATTTATAATGGAAATGACCCAATTAATTAGAACAATTAAATTAAATACTCCGAATAAAATGTTTATTTTTGGGATAAATTTATAAAACCTGAACTATAACCTTCGAGTTCTGGTCCCAATTTGGCAGAAGAAAAACCAACCAGTTCTGGTCCAATTTGTGTAATCTTGTTTTGTGTCCACCCCTATCCTCAGCTAGGATTGGGTTATTCAGCTAGAAATGTAGGATATCCTCAGCTAGGATTGGGTTATTCAGCTAGAAATGTATGATATCTATTTATTGGGAGATTTAGGATTTATAATGGCAAATTGTTAAGATGAAATTGTTGGTCTTTTTATGTGAAATCCTTTGACCATTTTATGACGTATATGAGGTAGTAATGCAACTTCCTTCTGACATGCTACTAATTAAAAAAGTTCTTTCAAATGATAAAGAGGGGAATCCTTTGACTTTTAAACCAAGATGGTTTAACTTCTTCTTTTTTTTAGAAAAGGAAGTTTTAGTAAGGAAAATAGAAAAAGGAGTACAAGTGAAATAAAAAATAAGAAAAACCAAAGAGAAAAAAAGGAAAGCAACAACAAGAAAAAGAATCGCCCAACCCCAAGTACATTCTTGCCCAACCCAATAGACCATAACTCCCTTTGTCAATAATGATAACCTCAGTGCTCCTCGCGAGATTGAGATCGCGTTCTCATTCGGTGTGAACGTGGAGTCCTCTTTATGTTTGTCTGGATGTTCAAATTATTTGTAGGCAAACAGTTATCCCTCGTAACAAGCAACGCCTTATTACAAATATTTTGATTAGAGTCAAAATCTCATAAATCATCCACCGTCGATATAGGAGTACGCTTTTCATTCTCTGATGTGTGACCAAGATATGTATCCCCCGAATCATCATATGCTCCCATGCCCCAGGAGTCATGCTCTAGAACTCCACAATTTGAGAAATTTGGGCGCTCAAAGTGCCAAACGAAAGAGTCTGGAACTATTGTATTTTCTTTGATCTTTTCTGACCGAAAGCCTCCCTTGCCAGAACTCCCTTGCTCAGTAGTAATCCCGTCCTTATATGGATTATTTCCACAACCCTCGTAAAGCTGTGCAATGATACGTTTATACTTTTTTGAAAGAAAAGCTATCAAATTGGTCACACTCGAATTCATAATATCCTAAAAAACGGCACAATACGAGAAGGATCAAGAGATGAATCTTTATCAGGAAAGTCCAAAGTGTTGTGAGTACTCTCAGAAAGTACAAAATCAGGGTGCAGTAAGGCGTCTGAAATTGTGAGCTCCTTAGTCTCCAAATAGTTGGCATTGTTTATTATTTCAGCATTAGAACAAGAAACTCCATTCAGAGTTAAAGATTCTTGTTTAGGAGTTGATTCCTTCATAGTAGAGATAGCCCGTGAAAGACCTGCAATAAATAGAGTGATATTAATTCCATTTTTACCTTCGGGTATAAACAGGGAGTCTGCGCCCGAAGAAATTCTAACAAATCCTCTGAAATAATTACCATCCAAAAGGAGTGCAATACATTTGCTTAAAACCAGTCTTGATATGACTTTTCCAGGTCGAAGCTTTAGCAAAGATTCATTCAACCAAGATGTTTAACAAAAGTACAATTTCATAAAAATTAATAAGTCAGGAAGACAAAAGTCGCTTGACGGATTGAATTGAAATTTTGATCTAATGTAAAGTAGTATGGTCTAATAGATATCTGTTGTACGTATATAGTGTATTTTACGATTAATGATGTATGGTTTGATTTGATCAGTTTTAGTCTGATCTAATCCGATTTGATCTAAATTGAAATTAGTTCAATTTAAAACATACTACGTAAAAGAAAACCATTTGTACAAACTTTCTTATACACACTTCTTATACACGTCTGTGAGTAGATTATTTTTTTGTTTGTGAATAGCTTATTCACACATAAAACATGTTGTTGTGAATAAGCTATTCACAGACAAAAAAAAACCTGCTGACAGACGTGTGTACAAATAAGAGCCCGTTTGGTAGCATGAAAATCGGTTGTTTTGGCTGATTCTGCTGAAATTTATGAAATTCTGGCTTAAGTGGCTGCATTGGCTGATTCTGCTGATTTAAGAAAAAAATATTTTTAAAATTTATTATATTAATAAAATGAAGAAAAAATTATATGCAAAAATAGCTAAAATGATCATCTACAGTAACTTCAGACAATACACCTAGAAAAGTAACTTTAACCTTACTTTTCTGCTTATTACGGAGTACATAATTCAGCGCGGAAAACAAAAGTTACGTATTTGGTCAAAAAGTTGGTTGATAAGCCTTAAAACAATGTTGCCAAACTACCTCCAAGTGTGTTAAAGAAAATTATTGTTAAAGCACTCTTAAGTTATTTCTGGTCACCAAATGTACGTTAAATCAATACTCCATAACTTTCTGTTTAATTTGCAAAATTTTCTATTTTAATAATTTTTCGCTTTTATTTTACTTTATCACTTTTACATTTACTTAATGGAAGTTCCCGAAATAGGACTAAAACAGTTTGGAAATTCCAAAATAATACTGTCATGTTTTTATCCCAAAATATGAGTAATTACTATCAAGTTTGTAAAATACTGTCATGTTTGATGTCTGTTACTGCCAAAACATGACAGCAATTAGTCCTTTTTTGAGAATAAAAACATGACTATTCTATTTTAGAATTTTCAAACCATTTAAGTCCTATTTCGAGAAATATTCTCTTTACTTAATTGTTTGTACTTTATGAGAGATACTACTTTATTTATACTTTCCTTAATTCTTACTAGTATATGAGACTACTTTTGCAAATCATATTGGAATGGGGGAGTAATTTTCTATATCCACAAATCACACTACCAAGCAAGGATCAGCTTTTGAAAATGAGCCAACAATAGACAATAAGATTTATATACGACCTCCAAATCCCAAATTAAAGCTCATCAACAAGTTAATTTGTGATTTGTGAATATAACAGTACATTGTAAAGCTCAGAAAACATCGTAGAACATTAGCTCATTACACTTGAATAATATCCAGAAAAATGTTGTTCACTCATCAATCAAGAATGATTTGTGTTTTCAGGAAATATATGTTGCTGAGTTTTAATTACTTATCAAGTCTTTATCATAGCACAGTGCATTGCTTCAATTCCCAAATTTTTATGGGGACCAATATACAAACAAACATTAAAAAATCAGAATGCGGAGAATGATTTTTACTATATACCGTAAAATATTTTAAACCCTTGAATCGGCAGTTGGCACAATTAATTACCTCATCAGTCATCAAATACATATACTTGTATCTTGTAGAAAAAACTTGAGTATAACAAAATGAAATGTTGTGGACCACATATTTCTTTTCAAAAAGGAAAATGTGACACTTATTTTGGTACAATCCAAAAGGAAAAGTGACAAATAAAATGAGACGGAAGGACTAATATTTTCAAGTGTAGATAATAATTTATTTCCATCATTTGCAATAGAGCCAAAGACTCACTATTTTTTGGATTGATAATATGATGGAATAAAGCAAAATGACTCACTAAACTGTCTGCGCTTCTTTGTTATGAAGCAACAGTTCATCCATGCAATTTTTATGTGATTTTCACTATGGGTTATCTGGAAACAGTCTCCCTGTGCTTTAGTACAGGGGTAAGGTTGCGTACATCCGACCCCCTTACCTCACCGTAGGTAGGAGCCTTTGCGGCACTGGAGTAATGATAATGATAATGATACAAGATATCGTTCAGAATTTACCCTTCACACGGGGCTTTCAGTATAAAATGTGACCAGCGCAATTTATAAAACTTTGAGCTATTTATTCAGTTTTAGG